CCGGGCGCATGCGTGCGTGTGTGTAGCGGGTGGCAGCTGTTGTGTAGGCGAGTGTTGCGCGCCCGGCAGTGACGCCGACTCGCACAAAAGATGAGCTTATCTTAACTGTCGGCATTCATTTACATGAATGCCGAACAAGTGAAAAGAGTCTCGCCGCTGCTTTTTTTGACTTATTCAACCTCAGCAACCACTTCACACATCCACGAAAGGCAGAAAACAAAAAAAAAAAATAGAAATAAATAAAGAGAAAACGAGGAAGTGGTCAGCGTGATAACGATGGGGGGGCGGGACATAAAGGAACAACGCCGCTCGCACCTTGACGCCGTGCCCGACGTCATCCAGCGCGCCGAAATCCACCGGCTTGCGGACGTAGCGCAGCGGCCTCTCGGGATTGGGCGGCGCCACGATCTTGTGGGCGCGGCTGGCGTTCTTATTGGCGGTCAGCACGCCGATCTCCCGCCTCGCCACCTTCTCCTTGTGGATGCCCACCGTCTGCGCAACGCCACACCAACAATATCCATCAAGTTTAATTTTGTGGTCAAGGAAGTATCGAGCCTTTTGATAAGACGAACAATTAAGAATGACGCATGTGTCTGAAAGTTGTGTTTGAAAGAGCGCAGCGCACACAACCGTCCTTTTGGAAATGTGGCATAATGCTCCGTTTCAGCCTTCGTTAGCACTTGGCCGCGATGCGCCAAAAAAAAAAACGAGATGCCGTCGGTCTTCTTTCGGGCTTGTCAGAAGCGGCGCTCCGAGCGCATGCGTGCGTGTGTGTAGCGGGTGGCAGCTGTTGTGTAGGCGAGTGTTGCGCGCCCGGCAGTGACGCCGACTCGCACAAAAGATGAGCTTATCTTAACTGCCGGCATTCATGCAAATGAATGCCGAACAAGTGAAAAGAGTCTTTTTTAAATAACAGTAAATTCTGTTGTTGGGGGGGAAAAACAAAACAAAACAAAACCATCCTTGTGTCCTCGCATCCTTCCTGCCTTTCTTCCTTCCTTTCCTCGTGCTTTCCGTCCATCTTTTCCTTCCTCCATTCAGACATTCTTGTTTCTTTGCCTTCGCGCAATCTCTTTCCTTCTTCTATCCATCCTTGCGACCCGCTTTGCTTTGTCCCTCCTTTCCTTTCATACTTTGCTTGGATCCTTCTTTCCATTCATCCTTATTTACTCGCTTCCTTTCACCATCACCGCTCGCTCACTTCCCGTGGACGTTCATCTTTTTGGCATCCTCCGTTTCATACCGTCCTGGATTCCTTCCTCCCCTCCATCTGTCCGTCCTACGACATTTTGTCTACTTCCTTCATGAAGTCTTCCTTCCTTTCAGACATCCTTCCGTGCTGGCTGCCATCCTTCGCCCCCCGACAACATTGTCTCCTTCATCTCGACTTTCACTCATCCTTCCTCCCTCCTATCCTTTCATACATCCTTGTTTCCTTCTTTCCTTCTGTCTGCCATCGTTGACTCCTTTCTTCATCCATCCTTTCTTACTCGCTTCCTTTTTCCATATCTTCCTTCTTTCCTTCCTTACTCCTTCCTTCTTCTATCCTTCCTACCTAGCTTACATCCTTCCCCCCCCTACCTTCCTTGTTTTGTTCCCTAATACGATCCTTGACTTCTTCAATCCTTGCGTACTTTCTTCCTGCCTCCCGTCCTTCCACTAAACCTTCCTTCCACACCATTCTGGTCTCTTTCCTTCCAGGTTTCCTTTCTTCTTTTCGTACATTGTCCTTCCTAGCTTGCCTTCGCGCAATCTCTTTCCTTCTTCTATCCATCCTTGCGACCCGCTTTGCTTTGTCCCTCCTTTCCTTTCATACCTTGCTTGGATCCTTCTTTCCATCCGCCCTTATTTACTCGCTTCCTTTCACCATCACCGCTCACTCACTTCCCGTGGACGTTCATCTGTCCTTCCTAGTGTCCGTCTTTCGTCCCTACTTTCCGTAATCTCATCCTCGATTGCTTGATTTGAAGTCTACTGTATGCCTGAAGTCCTTTTGGCCCACCCTAGACACGCTCTCATTGCCCACGTTGGAATATTAACAAAGACATTGCGGCGTTGTCTGCTCACGATGGCCAACCTGTGCGATGTGGTTGACGGAGCTCTCCATGCACCGCAACTGTGACGTCTGGATGTCGAGCATCTGCAGCATGTTGTTGGCCAGAGTGTTGATGAGGTAGGCCACGCTGGCCACGGACTGCGTCGTGTAGCTCTTGGTCTCCTCCAGGGCTCCGTGCTTGTCCGAGGCCTGGGCAGGACGTCAGAGTGATTTGATCACAAGCGCTAAACATTTGGCAGCGAGCAAGCTATGTCACAAATTGGTAAATTTCAACAAAAAAAAAAATTCACACAAATCGTTTTGGTCAAGTAGTGACCAATCTAAAGTGTTAAAAATGTCGTTCTGTCTTTGACAATGCAATATTAATGGTTGAACAAACATGTTGTTTTGGGGGTCTAGCTATGCCGACACCAGCTATGATGGTTCGCGAGGTAGCAGCTACCCTCAAACACTGACACAGCAAGACTATTTTTACTCAAACGTGATTTTTCACACATGCTTGAACTGTGGGCTAATGCAAGGGAATGTAGCGCAAGGAGCTACAGTACGTGCTTCATTCTGTGCCCCTTCTTGAGACATGCTAACATACCATCTGTGTGACTGTTTATTTTGTGTAAGCTTGGTGCTTACATGCAGATGACGTGTGTGTGTGTGTGTGTGTGTGTGTGTGTGTGTGTGTGTGTGTAAGCAGAACAAATGCAATGTAGGTCAGCGCAAACTCATTCATGCCAGAGGTTGACAAGAAACGCACTGACACACACGCACACGCCTGTATTCTAATTATTGTATTATAATTCAAGGCCAGTATCACTGGAATGCTACTAAACAATATTTTTAAAAGTATTGAGAAAAAAAATATCTGTGAATATGCAAATATGCAGGAGCTGAACAGCAGAAATCAAATGTAGGATGAGGGGTTTTGTGTGTGTGTGTGTGTGTGTGTGTGTGTGTGTGTGTGTGTGTGTGTGTGTGTTTGTATGTATACATGTAAAAAAAAAGTGCCTTTATTTTAGAAATAATAATTTGTTTATATGTTTCTAGACTGACCATCACGATCGGTAAATCAAATTATTGCTTGTAAATAGAGGCAAAAGAAAAAAAAAAATCAGAGCAACAACCTATACTCCAAAAACTTTTGTCAGGGTACTCGAAGTTTAAGTACTGCTCTACACATATGAGCGTTTGAAGAAATGTAAATTTTTTTCGATCTTCAGGCAAATTCAATTTGAAATAGTCTCTCTGTATCACTCATTTTCAGCCGTCGCGGCCGCGATAAACGGGGGTCCATTGTAAACTCGGTCCTTGCCGGTGGTACGCCCACTCGCAGAATAAACGTCGCTACACAAGGCTCCACTTCCCCGTAAAACGCCTACCTGGATATAGTTGGTCTCGCAGTACTCGGCCACCCTATCCAGGTTGGGAAAACTGTCAAGGAGGGCCCTTCTCCCTGCGGGGATCTCCTCCTCGAGAAGCATTTGAAGCTCCGCCATCATTACATGTTTGCCTGAATTGCCGCCACAGCACAAGCCCCGCGTGCTGATGCTTTCATGTAGCCTGGGATAAATCGTCACTCTCACGCGATCAACGCTTTTGAAAACGGGGACGGACGGCATTTTAGATGAAGAAATGGTTGATTTGTTAAAATAATGGCAACAATTTACTGTGTGAACTTTTGGAGATGAATTATTTTGTGGTTCCTTTTTGTTTTTGTGCGAGTTAGTAAAAGTAAATGATGAGTGTCCCAGTTATACACGAAGGTCCTAAACGCATCACTTTACAACTCCCACTTGTGAGAGAATTCATTCATTTTTTTGGGGGGTTCTTAGATTTTTCTACATTTTGAGCATCTCAACATCTTTGCAAATGTGCTCATTTAAATTTGTAATACTATAGCGCACAAAATTATTATTCTTATTACCCGTTATATGTTTGATTAACAATGATGTCCAAACTGTACAAATACATGAAACATTTCTGCAGTGTTATGTCAAATATAGCGATTTAAAACAATACATTATGATGACTGAAATCACCTATAATATGAACAGTACTGCTGTAACTGGTGCGTAACTCCGACTGCGTTGTGTTTGAGAATTGTGACGACACACAGCAGGATTTTTTGTGCTGGTTGCGTTTAATTGTCTTCATCACTGTACCTGTAGTCATGTATTGGATCTGGCGGGCAGCAGCACCACCTCATGCTTAGAAGATACAAAAGCATGGCACAACACGATACTTTCTTTATTTCTTCAAGTCACAAAACCACAAAGGACAAAAAAGATGTAAAACACATACATGTACAAAAAATATTTTGAAAATAAATACTTGGAATTAGGGATTTTAAACAAGGTCTCAGGCTTGGATGTCCATGTTGTCATCGGCTCGGGGATAGCTCTCGACTTCCATGGACATCAAGAACTCTGCAAAGAACAGCAACACATAAAATCATACATAAAATAATGATAATAGTAATAACCCTAATTTTTTAAGTTGACGTTGTCAAAGTTCGTCAAAAATACAAGCCTTGGAATTCGTCCCAAAAGGGCTGAATCAAAACCAAAGCTTACAACTTCCTGTTCAATTTTGTGCTTGGGACCTTGAGACTTTTTCGTGCGCCCTATCATGAAAAACATTCCTACCAAATTCTGTGCAAATTTGTTAAACTTGTATGAGGGGCTGATTTTAAATTTGGAAAACAATACGACAACAAAACGCCCACTGGACGGTACCTTCCGTGTAGTCAATATCTGGCCGCGTGGAGATGATGGCCCAGGCCAGACCCACCAGCAGCGCCACCACCAGGTTGACCACGATCCACGGTCGCAAGATCTGCTCCTCAGAACCAGGAGGCCTGGAGGAATATTATTCTTATTCTATCGGATCATTTGAAAGATGTGCCACCGGGCCATTTTTTAAAATTTCTCACCACAGAGTCTCGTTGGCGGTGGGATATAGGTGGATGCGATCGCTGGTCATCTGCTGACTGAGGGACAGGATCAGCGCGGTGAAGTACACTAAAAATACAGCAGAGGTGATGAGTCGATGGATCTCTTCTCATGCTCCGGGGCTCTATTTTCGCCTGAACGGATTTTGAGCGCTTGATGTGCGCAGTTGCTGTGTTGGGCTCACAGAACGAGGCGAGAGCAGCGGGATCCAACGTGATGAAGCCCCTCAGAGCCATGGAGGCCTTGGCCAGGTTGACGCTGCATGCCGTGGGAAATCCAAAATCAAGTAACCGTGGACTTGACGGCAAAGGCGAAGTGGCGAACGTACCGGTCGAAGGCGGACACGGTGCTGATGGCGAGCAGCAGGTAGAGCAGCGACTGCGCGCTGTAGGCCAGCGAGTGATACTGCTGCAGAAGGTTGGCCAGCGCGGACATGCGCTCACCTGCTAGCACGTACACCACGCTCACGTTCCACACGGCGTAGCCTGACAGGAAGCCATGGCAGAACAGGCCCAGGACCCTGCAATGGCACACAGTGATAGAAACCGCGCCACGATACGACACGTCCGAAGCAACGAGACCGCACAATGATACCAAAGACCGATAACATTCAACGATACGGCAAAACGACACGACAGCGAGACGACGTGATGATAAGAAGCAATGACACAACTTCATGACATAATTCAAGAACCTGATGAAATGACACAGCTTGAGAATAAGACTCAATGACATAATCAGTTACATGACTCAATGATATGACACAAAGATACGACTCAATGATACTACTCAGTATCACAACTCCATGACATGACTCCACGATATGGCTCAACTAAATGATACGACACAATGACACAATTTCATGATACGACTCATTGACGAAACTCAATAACACAACTCAATGACACGACTCGGTAATATGAAACGATGACACTGCCCAATGACACAACTAAATGATACGACTAAATTATACGACGCGCATACCTGAAGCTGCTGTGGATCTTGATGGCTATGTCTCTGGTGGTCCACGTCATCTGTCTGGGCTCCAAGTAGTCGTCCACCTGGTCGGGATGTCGCAACTGCTCCACTCGCTCCGCCTGGAAACGCCCTACCCACACACACACGCAGAGTTTTCAAGAACTAATGTACTTATTTGAAAAAGGATGTCAAAGTTCCCTCGGGCTCGCATTACAAACGCTACGTGACCAAACCCAGAAAACAGGTGAGCCATGACCTAAATCCCGAAATACAGAAAATAGCTCTTGATAATATCGTACTCGATGCATGATTCCGGTTCCTTGCGCAAAGTAGCTTACGATTTCTCTCGACGAAGACTCTGCCGACGGGTTGACTGCTTCCTTGGGGGGCGGAGAACAAGGAATGCTGGGGGATGGGCGAAGGGGCGCTCGCCACAATGTCGTCATCTACGGCTCCGACATCATTGCTGTGATGCTCCGTGGATTTGGTCTTCCTGCGCAAGACGACGACGATCCAACAACCAGGATGTTGTATAGAAATACCTCAATAAATAAATGAATGAATCTGACGGCTAACCTCTTCCTTTTGGTCCGTCTGGTCATAGCGACGGCAGGTTCCTCCTCGCCCACCTCGGCTTCGGCCGTGTCCCCGTTTGGCGTGTCGACATGCTCCGCCGGCTGATCTGAAACAATGACGAAATACTCAATGTGCCATAACAAGAAGACGCCGAAAAGGCTATTTTTGGTGACAAAAGCAGGTGAGAGTTCCATCGGTGCTAACAGACGACAACATTTAGATTTGGGCACAAAAATTCCTTGGTTGCCTTCAAAACTTTACAAAGTGTATCACCTAAAAGCTAAAAGGCTAACCAATCGTCGGCGTCCTCTTCTTTTTTTTCTTCTTCTGTGGTGCCGCCGCATCGAGGAAGTCTGGCGTTGCCGCTTCCCTGTTCTGATTCGTCAATCCTTCTTTCTCCACTTCCACGCAAACCACTCGAGAGACAAACAAGCCGATCATGACATTGGGATGTCACACATGTAGAGGATGTAATACATGTAGCAAAGTAGTCGCACACTCACCTTCGCCATCGTCATCGATGACTTCCTTTTTGGACTTCCTCTTCCTGCCCTTGACAGTTGGCATGGCGACCAGCCTGCCAATCAGTGATTGAGGTCAGTCAATTAGTGTTAAACGTTAGCTGTCATTGGATTAGCCTTCTCGAGCAGCTGTTGTGGGTCACGTTTGATTAAACATGAAAAAAATGGGCTCGCAGGCATCGTTTTGCTGTGCTAAGATGCGAACAACAACATGCTGGGATGAAGGTGTTAGCACTTAGCTAAGCTAGCATCTTGAGCAGGTTGTTTATTAACCATTAACTGTGTCACTGTGTCACATGTATTATTTCAGTACAACTAAAATGATGCTACACATATTACCATGGCTACTATTGTGCGACATGTGATGTTACAAACATAACTACTGCTACTGTAAGTACGATCTTACATGTATTAACACTAATAAGCTATACCCATTACCGCTGATACTAAATTGATTCACACACTACTGGCTCTAATACTACGACCAGTATCCTACTGGTACAACTACTAGTATGCTACATGTATTACTACTGGTAGGACTTCTTCGCCACATGTATTGCTAATGGTGTGCTATGTGGACTACTACTGGTAATTACCACTATGTGACACATTAGTATGAGTATGCTACTTGTATTACTTCTACACTTCACCTATTGGTACTGATATGCTGTGTTGTACAACAGACACTAGTATTACCACGTGTTGCTACCAGTACTCGTGCTTCTATAATGTCAACACAAATATGATCTAAAATCACCGTTCGCTTCACGTGCTAAAGCTAACGTCACTCACCTGTCCGCGCTGTGCTCAGCTTGTTTTCACGATGGCGACATGGGTGCCGACGTGAGTGACAGGTGGACGTGTGCTGAGCCTCTGGGGGAGCTTTGTGATGATGTCATTAGCAAAGCAGCCATCGACACTAATCTGACCGGCAGGAGGCCTCACAAATGATCCGTCCCTGGGTTAAACTGTCGCCATCAAAAGACTTTAGTAACTCTACATGTCATATTGGATGATTGATTAAAGAAGCAAATAACATAAAATATAAGTAAAAAAAAACTACTCACCTTTGGAAGTACAATACTTGTGCACAAAAATGTGGATGACAAAACGTGCCAAACACAAATGCAAACATCTTGTGTCAAGTCTTCTAATACTGTAGTCTCCTAATATTGTATTTTGGGTCACAGAAGAGCAACATTAGTACACGTAAAAGTATTTTTCACGGAAATCCAATACTTTGGCTCATCACTACATTTGCTGACAAAAAGGCTACAGCAGTAAATCCTGTTAGTGCTAATTAGCTCAAAATGACGGATTAGCAGAGAGGGAGAGTGAGGCGTTGATTTTAGATATGTACAGGTAGGTCAGTCGCTAGAGAGTTAAATAGGTGTGACCCTAGACTAGATTGTTTGGTAACTAGATAGTGTAGCAAAGTGGGTTGAGTACATTGGTAGGTTTTAGCTAGCTAAATAGGTATAGCAATAGGTTGGTTGCTAGATAGTTGGGTTGGTCAGTAGTAAGCTAGATAGTTGTATAAGTAGGAAAATAATATATTTAGGTGGGAAAAGTAGTTTGGTCAGTTGTTAGGTTGGCAGCAAACTAGGTAGGTAAACAGACTGCCCTGTCTGTAGCTAGCAAGCTAAATACGGAGGGTAAGTCAGTCATTTTCTCGAAGAAGACAACAAAATTATTTCTTTGATCTTTTATAGGTTCATACTTTGTTAGCATACCTGCATGTGCACACAGCCTGCAGGTGGTGCTCGCTGCGCATCAATGCTAACAGTGTACTGGAATAGGTGGTGCTCGCTGCGCATCAATGCTAACAGTGTAAATTAGCAATTGGCGTATATACTTGCTATAGCTTCCTGTGAGGCTAGTCCATCTTTAGCATTCAGCTACTCCAGCGCTGGGTCCAACTGACGGGTATCCAGTTTGCGTCTTCCTGCGCTCGCTGGACCGCGGCGTGTAGCTTAGCACAGGTGTCGCTTAGCTGCTCGTTGACTAGCGCCTCGTCAAACAAATGTTTGTACTTGTGCTCCATCTGCCGAGACGACTCCGACAGGTCCACAAGGTCCTGTTTCTGTAGCACATACACAGCTGTGGTTAGCTAGCTAAATAGGTATGTACTACATATAGTAGGTAGGTCCTTCACTAGAGAGGTCGCTAGGAGCGGTAGTTAGGTAGGTCATATGGTTGCTAGGTAGTTAGGCAGGTGAGTTAGTTGGTCGGTCTGTATCAAGCTAGCTTGGAAACTTGATCGGTATGTAAACATGTAAGAAGGTGGGTGTGTTGATTAATATGTGGTAGACAGCACGTTAGCTAGATAGATGGGTATGTAATTAGATAAGTCACTATTGAGATGTGTATGTAGGCTCATGGCTATGTACTGTACTGTATATCCTGTATTGTATGTACGTATGGATGGATGTGTACTGTTCAGTCTTACAGTGATGTATCTGCTGTGCAGGTAACTGCAAATCATTCTGGCGTTCCCTCTAGTTTGTGCGAGTTTCTCCAAGCTGGGAGCTTTGATGAAGATCACGTACGGCTTGTACATCCTGGTCCTCAGAGGAGGAATGTTCTACAACATGACAGATACTCTGTAAAAAACACTTAAATGTATTATTGCCACTGTGCCTTATGTATATTCCTACATGTGGTTCGATGTCAATAATGCACACATGTCCCCGTTTGATGACCTCATTGATGGCATCGATGCTGGTCCCGTAGTTGTGGCCCTTAAACTCGCCGTATTGCACAAACCTGTGCAAATACATACAGTTAGGAGTCAATCGTGTGTGAAGAAAGTAAACGCCAAAGCTTACCTGTGGCTGCACACCATGTATTCAAAGAGCTCTTTGTTGACAAAGTGGTACTCTCTGCCTGTCTGCTCCCACGCTCTGATTGATCGGGTGGTGTCTGCGACAGCCAAACACAACAAAACACTGCTTAGTCACTCGCTGGTTTCACAGTACACTTAGTGTGCAATGGTCACAGCGAGCCTCAAGGAGGCAGTGTGCCGTACGTGGTATGGGTCCTTCATATGTGTCCGGGTTGAGTTTGATGAGAGTCTTTCTCAGCTCGTTGATGCCTACCCCTGACGCGCCTGTCCAGCATGCACAAAACGGACAATAAGACAAGAAAAAAAGACAGCAAAAGTGTTGACAAATGGGACCAAAATCCATGGGTGTTTGTTAGCTGGCTTCACTGAGGAGGCTGAACAGACATGAACAGTGTGATGGTCTTCTCACCCACGAGGATGATGAGCCGGTGGTGATCCCCTGGGGGTCGTCGGTAGAGGACCACTTCCTCGTAGGGCGTGGCCACGTTGGCGCAGTAGGCGGTGATGGTGGTGCTGGACCGACGCCTCCTCTTGGACAGCGACCTCCTCAACAGACAGAAACTACGCCGGAAACCCGCTGGGGATACAATGACGTTTAATTATGACATTTTTAGCTGCTGGAAGTAAGCACAATGTTAAAACAAAAAAAAAATCTACATATTTAATAATGAGTAATCTCACCGAGGTAGAGTCCATCAGGAAAGTCTGACGCTTCTGACTCTGAAAAATATGACAACACCATACTACTTTACATCATCACAACTAGCTAACTAACTACCTGACTGACCTCCGAACTTGATAACCAACTCATTTACCAATTAACTGAATTCATGAATAATTGACTTAACAACTAAGTGTTTAGCCAAATCCGACTGGCGACCTGGCTGATTGATAAACTTACTAACTGACTTACTGACTGACCAAACAACCGACTACCCAATGAAGTAACTGACTGACTTGATTAGCCACCCGGCTCTCTGATTAGCTGACTACCCAGCGAAATACTAACTGAATGCCTGACTGTCTTAGCAACTCATGATTAATTATGTATCTAACTAACTTAGTGGAGACTTACCTACCAAAATGTGTTTCTTCCTGATCTGGTGGACAAAAAAAAAAGGGAAAAGAAAAGCCATTTTATTTAGTTTGAAATAAAAATCAACAAAATGTCATGTAATAAAAGTGTATAACATATTGTCTATTCATGCATATCCAAAATGATGTATACGCTATATCTGTATTACCTGAAGTGCATTTTTCTTGAGGCTCCACCTCTGTAGCAGAAAACATTCAGTGTAAAAAATCACGTCACAGTCGATATAATTGTAAGCGGTCGAGTATGCGGATGACACCACGACCCACCTTTATCAGTTACGGTGACTTCAGCAGCATGAGGGGACAAACGTAGTGTTGAAGTATTCGCGACAGCTCCGTGCATGACTGGCGGTGATGTAATGAGATGATCCTCACCTGCGCTGCTGCCTCCGCCGCCACCCTCGTCCTTATCATCCTTACACTCGTTATGATCCCTCTGCTCCTTCTGCTTACTGACGACACCAACATCACAAACAGTACGTTACAATACGTACATTAGGTGTATTAATAGAATAAGCATCACAATCACACGCAACACCTACATGGACATGGCACACATCACAATTTGGGTTAGTTTGTTAGGTAGGTAGGCAGAGCTAGGTAGGTAGTAAGTTAGCTAGTTAAGGTATATAGGTAGTTGGGCCGTCAGTTATTTCATTAGTTAACTTGGCAGGTAGGTCAGTCCATCCACCAGTCAGTTTCGCTAATCAGATGGCTTGCTAGTTAATTAAATACAGTAGGCAAGTTTAGTAGCTAGTAGGTAGCTACATATGTAATATCTTAGCTAGCTCATCAATTAGGCAGTCAGTTATTTTGTTAGTTAACCTGGTAGGTAGGTAGGTAGGTCAGTCCGTTCACCAGTCCACTAGTCCAGTTTAGTTAATCATATTGTTTGCTAGTTAAGTATAGTAGGTAAGTCTAGTAGCTAGTAGGTAGTTAGATATGGAATATCTTAGCTAGCTCATCAGTTAGGCAGTCATTCAATGTGTTAGTTAGTTATTTAGTTAGTTAGTTAGTTAGTTGCCTGGTAACATCCCAGTCGGTCAGTCAATATGTTCACTAGGTGGTTAATGAGTCAGTCCACCTGTCCATGTTAGTTATGGCGTCAGGTGACCTCTTCAACGTGGCAGCTGATGGAATCAATCCGGCAAAGGAGGCGGAGCTGGTGATCTTCCGAGCTTGCCACCACTGTCCATCTGTCTGGTCCAAGACCTCCAGCACTTCCCCCTTACTGAAGAAAACTCCCACATCCGGGCACGGTATGGATGAGTCCTGCAGGGGGCAGTAGTCCACCATGGCCCTCATGTAGACCTCACACAGGAGAAGAACATACTCAGCATGCATCTCCAGGATGAAGATTCCTGAACAAGTCTGTTGAAGGTTCCTCACTGGTTTGTTGATGCTGCTCAGCTGGGAAGTGTTTGGAACTACTTTGAACAGGATGGTGCCCTCAGACCTCATCTAAGCACACAAATGATTGAGAGATAGGACATGAGTCACACAAATAATTGGAGACACACAGGGAACAGGAGAAGCAACAGAAAATTTGGGAGCATGTTTCTCATGACAAACATGGCGACGATGCTTTCCGGCAGACCGACCAGAATCTGGATGACCTGCTCTGGTTCCAACCCCACCACTGGCTTTCCGTCCACCTCCACCAGAAGATCTCCAGGATGGAGTAGACCTAACACAGAAATAGACGCACGCACACACAGAATCCATTACTGCACATCTGAACCATTGTCTCACACACACACACACACACACACACACACACACACACACACACACACCGCTGCGGTCTGCAAGTCCTCCACGAATCACCCTGGCGATAAAGATCTCGCCTGTCTCCTTGTCCTTCCTTATGGTGGCCCCCTGACACACACACACACACACACACACACACACACAGTTAGGACAAATGGTGATATTGGTCTCCACTCAAAAGTTCTTCAGAGGTGTTCTCACCAGAGGTTGTTCATTCTTTGCCAGACAAACAATCCTCACGACCTCCTCATCTACAGGCAACCCGTCAGGTAGTGGCGCCAGGACGGGTCCAAAGTCGGCTTGAGCCACAGCGTCGTGACAGGACAACAGGGCCTAAGACCATGAGAAGATGGTGAGGGCTGGCCTCAAGGACCTAGCAGGGGACCGGATGGAGGACCTTCATGTGCGGAGAGCTCAGGAGGATCTGAAGCTCTGTGGCCTCCACAGAAGGAGTCTGGACCGTATGCAGGACGCCCTGGACCTCGAAAACAACACGGCACAGAACGCAGAGTAAGCATCACTCTCTCCGAACGAACAATGCCTGTTGTTAAGGAGACACTTTAATGAGCATTTTTTTTTAATCATTCTATTTTTGAGTTGGTTGTTATTGGTGAAGTAATTGTTGACGACAACCTCACGTGAGAGTGCTGAGGCATGAGACAGGAAAGGGCGGGGCCAGAGTCTTTTGAACGTCAACAGGCACTCGTAAATCTGGAGATGGAGAAAAGAGGAAGTGATGTCATAAAATGACGGCCCACGTGCGGGAGTGCACGCCCCGCCTCCTGATTGGAAACGTACCTGCAGCAGGGCATGCAGCCACTGAGTGCTCAGGAGTTCATGAAGGAGATGAGCGCCAATGACGTTTCTGCTGACCGCCTCGTTGACATTCTCCACCACCATGGACAACAACTCAATGACGCCTGCATACGGAAACACACACACACACAGACTACATTGGTAGTTATATGAGTTGGATAAAATCTCCAGAGTGAAGTTTTTTTGTGAATGACACCAGGAATGATTTAAAATGGCTGCTTGAAAGGAAAAATGGCAGACTTCCTGTGTCTTCAGTCATGTCTTCTTGAAACTTTTTTGTGAGTCTACTCACATGACCAAATCATTCAATCTTTAGCATGACAAGTGGTTCGACTTAGTGAGCGATCAGCTTCAAACAAATATTGAGGTCGCACAAATGGCCCCAAATTGACTCTAAAATGGCGGCTTCCAAGAGAAATGAAGGACTTCCTGTTGATGTGATTGTGTTTCCTACCATCCTCCTCCATGTGCGTCATGACGACTGTCTTCTTTCACCATCAGCACGCTCTGAAAAACAAAGCACACCAACGTTTCGTGGTCGAACAGAGATGAACTTTAAATGTAGAAGCATTTTGTTCCACCAGAAGGCGCCAAAGAGCTACACGGACACAAATAGAGTTGAGCTTCCGTCAGCGGGGCTCTAAATGGGGACCCATGCCAACTTTAGCTTTCTTATCTTAGCCTCATTCCAAGAACTCGCTCGGTTATGATAAGTAAAAGCTCACGAGTCTTCATTTGACTTAAAAAGTTCATACACTCTACAATATGTCATGTTAGTTTAATTTTTTTCAATGTGACTCAAGTAGTGACTGGAACTTTTTTCATTTCGCTATACAGTATACAGGAGGTGACTGACCCGACCGGCCCACTGACAGAATCGGAATGAACTGAATCAAATTTTCCCCTTTAAAATTGACTGTCCTTGAATCATATCGCACCCTATGAATCAAGATACATATCAAATTGCCTTTCATTGGAGAGAGCCAAACTCCTAAATCTGTTATATTTTATTTTATTATTATTTTGAAACGAAGAATTCTGACTGTTCTTACAATTATGTAAAAATTATGAGAATGTTAAAATCCGTTGAGGGTTTTTGTGTGTGTGTCAAATTGATCGACAACGATAATCGTCAACCGTCAATCAAAAACATTTGATTTCAAAGGATAGTGCATGCCATGTGATCAGTCGCTGTGTAAAAATTAAGGCAATTTCCTTCATATTCAATACATTTTTCAGATGAAAAACATTTGTGAAACTACACTCACATTGAAATTATTATGAATCGTTATTTTTTAAAAGAGAATATTTTAAAAAGTAAGAAAAAAATAGACCAATTCTTCTGCGTGCTATGTTAGCATTTAGCTCAAAGGAGCAGTGAAGGATGTGTTCTCAAGTTTCGACTTACCTCGTGGTCGTCTCGCTGGACACTCACGCTGATGTTTGCTGTTTTGAATGCCAAGGTTACTTAAAACAGAGGCCAGCTAATCCTTAAGCTTTTAAACTCTCGTTCTCACACATCCGCAAACACATGCGCACACACTTTGTAAATAGAAGCATGAACCACTAGGGGGCAATGTTGTAATTAAAAAAAAACCTAAAACTGTTTTTATTGCGTCCAAACTCGAGGGTTACTTCTATTAAGTCTATTTACAATATAGTGATAAAAAATATTTGTACAAAAAAAAAATCAATAAACTGTTTTAAATAAAAACCTGTTAAAAATACAACAGTAACCATTTGGAAAAAAAAATACCTGGTTTTAAAAATTCTAAATAATGTATTTATTTTGGATTAGGACTGTAAAATGTGTAAGTAGTAAATAAATGACTTTATTTTATTTATTTTTAATTTTTTTTTGGTCAAAGTCGTGATTATCTTCTCCGAGGGGCTGCGAGAGAGCCCATGCCTCTAGTTTTGGCTGCAGCTTTAGTTTAGTTGAAGCTTCCGAGGATCCGACAACATTTAGATTTTATAATTAGAATTTATTTCGTTAACGACTGCACGAGGGAAATAAGCGCCAACAATAAAGGATGTACATACAGTATATCATAAGAGACGTACGCAGGCCAGAGGCACCCGAGCTAATTTAAGATTACGACTTAATTGCACACGCGTCACGTGACGCATTCACACTGACCACGTCGGAAAGTCCTAAGAGGATAGTCACAGGGTTGTTTTTCGAAACGAAAAGTCCGATATTTTTAAACAAGGACATAATCAGGTTTGAATAAAAACTTTTTACAAGAATAAAGTCATATTTTTATTTATTTTTTATGTATTATTTATTTATTTTTCTGTGAGAGACAAAAAAAAAAAAAAAAAGATATTTTTCTCCAATACAGTATGTAACTTTTTTGGACGCCAGTGTGTCCCTAATAAATTGTCCAAATGGACAGTTTTGCTGCAAACCAACAGGGGGAACTGTGGCTCCAGTTGGATGGAAAAAAAAATCTCTCTCTCTCTCTCTCTCTCTCTCTC